CTTACGATTCTTTAGATGTTAGTTCGGAGAATTTGTTGATGGATCAACTGATAACCCCTAGTTGATTTTTTTTTATTCTAACTTGTCTGCTTTATATTGTTTTGATATTGTAAGGAGAAATTCTGTCTTAAGTCACTTATGAGGACTTCCTGACTTGAAAGTGGATGTGAATTCTCAGGCCCGGTGGCCGTATTTGCAACACCTTTACGGCCCTGAAACGGAAAAACAAAACAACAAAATAAACAGCTGCAGTAACCTTGTTGGAAGGGATGGCTGTGTAATGTGTCTCGAGGCCGGGAATTGGAATCTGAGAAGAAGCCTGGTTACGAGTACTAAAGATAGCTAATGGAACAGTGGAGACTGGAGGCAAACTTTCCAGTTATAGTCACAATAGGATTTTAAGCAGCAAAGTGATGCAGCGGAGATTTGAACCGCTGTAAACTGCAAGCCACATGAAGGAAATTCTTGAGTGGGGGCTTTTGTCCACTGGCTGATGAATTGCAAGATGTTAAAGGCCAAACAACTCTGTGGTTAACAGATACGCTTATGTGTTTTTGCGCGCATGTCGTATCGATATCACGTAGAATCAGTTGCACTACTTCCTTTGGGTGGATTAAGAAATTAAGAGTAGTGCTACTACATAGAACGACGACTTGCCTGGAGATATTTGCTCCGTTTGTGAGTTTCTCTCTCTTGTTGACTTGGAGTGACATGTTTCCAGTTTTGTTCATATTTAACCCTTGAAATTTCGTATAGTACGCTTTTTGACAAAGTGTCGTAAAACTGAAATCAAAGTAATCCCAACAGCCAATCAAAAGAAAGAAAATACTTTGAAGAGCGCGGGAAAACACGGGCGACCAAGTTGTGGTTGATTTTAGTTTTGCATCTGATTGGTTGAAAGAGAGTGGCCCGAGTTTTCTGGATCAATGACAGAGCGGAGCAAAACCAATGTAATCTTAGATTGAAAATTGCCCTATGAGTTCAAGATTTCTTTCGCGTGGTCGTGGGCCAAGCCTGAATCAATTATCACACAAAGAAATCAAAAGCGAATGATTAAACTGTTTAGTTGAACTTCTAAGTTGAACTCG